AATTTGACAAAGGTATAACAACATACAATGAAATACTAATCGTCAATAAAATGGAATGAACTATTGATAAACAACATGGATGAACCTCAATAATTACACTTAAAGAATGTAGGGAAAAGAATATATGGTGTGTTTGGTGTTGCACCCATTACTTACTATTTTAGCTACTTTATTTTTTTAATTTAAAAAATTTATTTATTTATTTAGCTACTTTAACATACAAAACTTTTTAACACAATGCTCTCTATATAGTAAGGTACTTGAAGACAGTTTGTGGTTTTGATTAAATTATTATTTTCAGATATAGATGACACACAAATTAAGAACCTAGAATAATTTTAGAGGAAGAATCTTTTGAGATAAATTTATCCAATTACCCCACCACCCACCCCTCGAAGGTACATGATTTACCCAAGGTTCATATAATTAGTAGAAAACCTAGAATTCTGGCAACTTGTTTTCACTCACTCTGAAGATCTTCTTTTAATTATGAATGAGCCATCATTTTAAAACATAATAATTTTTAGTAATTGGTCCTACGAAATTCACTATTTGGGGGCTTTTTTTTTCCTGAGGAAAAAACTGACGACATTGTTAACCACAAGGAAATGCTTCAGATGAAATTGATAAGTGATGCTTCAAAGATTCTTTCAGACCTGTTTCAGTGAATTCAGTGAAATTCCCCGTAGTGGAGAAGATAAGCTTTTCCATATCTTCATATATCTTCTCCACACAAAAATGTGGAGAAAACGGAATTGCCTTGACTAGAGGAGTCATTTTCTCTACAGACTGACTTAGAAATCTTCTGGCAAGCCCCAGAGACTTGAAGTGATTAGGAAGAAAGGAATTTTTTTTTGAAACTGCAGTGATTCCTTTGAGATGGAAACCAAATATACCTGGCTGCTTCCAAATCATCACACCAGTTTCTCAGTTGGTGGGGATTTAACAAGGGAGTGTGGAGGGTAAATGAGATCCTAATGATCATTTACCTCTGGCTTGTGTGGCGTCTGTTTAATTCCATTCAACCCAGATGAACTTCTGAGAATGATGCTCTGATATTACCAACATAAATGACTTACAATATTACCAAGCTTATTTACTTCACTATTACCATCTTACTGAGAATACCTAAGTGTACCCAGGGGGTTAAAATACACTTTGCTTTGGATTTCCTAATTTTCATAGCTCTTCAGTTTAGCTTAAAATATTTTTCTTTTCAGTTTTGATGACATTTGAAATATACAGTTAAATTACGAGAGGGATCTTGATGCCTAAGATCAATTACTTAGGTATAGATATTTAGGAATGCCAATTCATTATTAAGAACAATGGTTCTCAAAGTATGGTCCTCTCTCATTAACAGTCTTGCTTCATGCTTACATGGAAAATTAGGGCCTTCAATGGAAATTCCCTCTCTTTCCATCGCCTGTGTAAGTGAACTAGCATCTGTGCCCATCTTCCCCTTTCACTTTATTTTGCAGGAACTACGTACTTGGTATATACCTCCATGTCTTGAAATAATGGGTATATTGCTCTTCTTGGTCTCTATATTTTAGGCAATATCTACTGGTTTCTCACTATGGAAAATAAGGATTTATCTCTTTTTCCTCTTCTGTCACCATCATGCACACACATACTCATGCACTCATTTTATCCCCTCAACCTCTTCAGCTAGTCATACTGCAACTTGTTAAGGTTTATATTCATAGTTTACATTATTATGACTAAATATGTATGACTGAGAGCTGAGCCATGTAGTAAAACTATTATTTGCCTTCCTTCCAGCATGATATTTTGCCTCTGGAGACAGTTTCTCTTCTTCTTCTTCTTCTTCTTCTTCTTTTTTTTTTTTTAGTGGGCATGTGTGGTTTCCTTGGAAAAATTATTGTTTTTCCTCTTCTTAAAAAGAAATACTCTCATATAAAAGAGTAAAGAAACATGTTTTTTAAAAAAAGAACACTTCATAAGTGGTTATAGTAAACACTTCTGGTGCCCCGTATACATCCCCTCAGCCCTTACTGTTGTGGAGCAAGACATGTTGATTTTCATATGTGAATACATTGCCATCTCTGGGTGAGGGCCTTTTTTGGTACTAGTATCCTCTCTACCTCTGTGCATTGCAATCCCAAAGCACCAGAGGATGCACACTCCCTGGGAGTAGTCCTTGATAATGACTGAAGGGAGCTGTATAAAAACCCTAGCTCTCTCTCTCAGGGGATATACTCTGAAGGACATGTTCAACACTGTTTCTCAGAGTTCCCCAGTGGGATTAAGCTCCAGTTACCCACAATGGCTGCTTGATAGCACACTCTTTATTGACTTCCTTCTTGTTTCTGTATCACACCACTAATGGCGTTTCCTGTGATCATCTCCTGAATAAATGACTTATACTTGAATCCTTCTTTCTATGCTTGCTTTTTGAACAACCCAAACTAAAACAATAGTGCTGATTATTTCCTGTTATATCACATTTTAAGGTAAATGATATTTGCTGTCCCAGTTTTAGAGGTGTTAATGTTGCTAGGTGGATGCAGGTGGTGTCAGCCTGATCTCTCCATTATAAAATTCCTTTTTCTATCTGTATTAGTCAGGGTTCTCCAGAAAAAACAGAACCAGTAGTATAGTATAGAGAGATAGATAAGCATTTATTTATTATAAGGAATTGGCTTACGTGATTATGGATGCTGAGAAGTCCCAAGATCTGCAGTCAGCAAGTGGGAGACCCAGGAGAGCTGATGGTGCAGTTCCAGACCAAGTCCAAAGGCCTGAGAACCAGGAGAGCTGATGGTGTATGTTCCCATCTGAGAGACAGCAAGCTGGAGATCCAAGAGCCAATGTTTCAGTTCATTTCTGAAGGCAAGAAAAGACCAACATCTCAGCTCAGGGAAGTAAGGCAGGAGGAGCTCTTTTTGTTCTGCTCAGGCCTTCAACTGATTGGATGAGGACCACCTACATTATGGAGGGCAATCTACTTTACTCAGTCTACTGATTCAAATGTTAATCTCATCTAGAAACACTCACCAACACATCCAGAATAATATGTAACCAAATATCTGGGCACCCTGTGGCCCAGTTAAGCTGACACAAAATTAGCCATAACACCATGTTTCACCTAATACTTTCAGCAGCCAGTAATTGTTATTGCATGTATCAATTACCTCATCAGGTGTTTAACATGGTGATTTTCAAATGCCAATATTCCTTCTCCATTTATTAGCTAAAATTCTATTGGTATGAACTTTTCTCTCATCAACTGTTTGATTACCTGGAAATATGGTTTGTACAGAAAGGGTGCAATAAATGTATCCTTTTTGATGACTTAGTTTTCTAAGTGGTTATCACTCATTTAATCCCAAACTGTCAGTTGTCTGAATTATTTTCAGTATGGTCATTCCCCTCAGGTGCTCTCATCATTTCATCTTCTTAAATAAGGCTCTCCAAAGGCTTTCTGACTTCTTGAAGAGTATTCTGAATGATTATCCTCTAGACCTGGTACACAGCAGTCATCCTGGGATCTCCCTTCACTATCAATTTGGGAATTCCCTCCAGCTATCTCCTGTTCTCCGGATGTCATGTTTTTCTTTCCATTTAGGTGGAGCATATTCTCCAATATTTCATTGAGAGTGCGTGTATGATAATTCTAAATTCTAGGTTGGAAATACTTTTCTTTCAGAGCTCTAAAGGTATTGTTTCACTTGTCTTCTAGCTCTTGGTGTTTTTCTTGATAGCTTCAATTCATTTTTACTCCTGATTCTTTGCTCATGAACTCTCCTTCTTCTCCTTGGATGCTTTTAGGATTTCCAAACAATTTCAGAGCACTGAGGAACAGTGTTTGGAAATTTCATAGTGCTGTGCTTTGTGTATCTGATTTTTATCTGCTGAACTGGACACTCAGAAAAGTCTCACGTCCTTTGGTTATAAGAAATTTTGTTGAAAATTTTCCTTGGTTATTTCCTCCTGTGCATTTCTCTTTCTGGAACTACTAATATTTGGATGTTAAATTTCCTGTACTATTCTTTCTTTAAAAAAATCTCCTCTTTTTCTCATCTTTTGGGATTTTTGCTTTGCCTTCTGAAAGATATCTTCACCTTTTCTTTCACTCCTGCTATCTTGTTTCTAAATTCCAAGAGCCCAGTTTTGTTTCCCAAGTACTTATGGCTTTGCCATTTCATTGATAAATAGTTCAATATGTATCTCTAAAATTGCTCCTTTAAAAATATAATAACAGTGCTATTATAACACTGAAAAGTTAAGTCTTTAATATCAAGAGTCTAGGGACTCTTCAAATTTCCCCTATTTAAAAAGATTTTTTTTGTTTGAATCAGTGTTCAAATAAGTTCATGTATTTCAATTGCTTGACATTTCTCGTAAGTTTTCTTTTAATCTTTAATTTTTCCCCATTCATTTTTTTCCTATAATTGAATTATTGAAGAATCAGGGTCATTTATAATGTAGAGTTTTCCACAGTTTGGATCTGAGTGATTGCATTTATGGTGAGTTTACATCTTCCTCTTTTCTCTGCATTAACTATTAATTGATCATTTGACCTGAAGACTTGATTAGAATCAGGTTTGATTTTGGGGGCATTAATACTTAATAAGGAGGCAACAAGGTCTAATGTTCTTTATTTTCATGATTTGGCAGCCATTGAGGACCATTGTCTATATCCATTATTTCATTAAAAGGTGTAAAATGGTGATATTATAAATCTGCCTTTCCTTCTTAATTTATTAGCTGTATGTCTACAAAGAGGAACTTCCCTTATCAACTTTTTCATTACTTGACTTAGAGTTAGTATGTGGAAGGCAGAGTAAATGCTTAATTCTTTCCTTTTATTTATCAGTTTTCAAAATAATGAGTTGGTTTATTAGCATCCTCCAAGGGTGACAAGGAGTTCTTTTTTAATTACCATTTTATTTTATTTTATTTTTTAACATTTTTTATTGATTTATAATCATTTTACAATGTTGTGTCAATAATTACCATTTTATAAACATCTAGATTTAAACGTATTTGATTTGTTTCAACATCTTATAGTTATTGTCCCTTTAGTGCTCTAATTGTGTCATTTTGATAGGGGAAAACTCTTCAAGTTGACTTTTGAGTCCTTTTGACATAATCCTAGTAGGTTTTGATAATTCCTTGTTTTGGGTTTGACAAGATGTTTCACGTTCATTTGTATGAATGGTGTCTGAAATCATAAATTTGAATTGATAGTATCAATGTAAACTTCTGTTGTATTTTACCTTCTTCACTGAAGAAGCCCAGAAATATGGACTAACTCAGAAGCACTGAACACTCCTAGAAGCCCAGACTGTGATATCTAAATACCATTTCCTTCTAAAATCCAGAAGCCCTAGGACTCCTCGGAGAGATGGCTGATTCCAAATGTAGTTCTGTGTTTTCATTTGAAGCTTGGGATCCTCTTCCAAGCTCATCCCTGCTATTAGCAGAGTTCAGCATTATATTGAAATTCAGCTCTATAATACAGACTGTAAATGAATAATCCCCACAGAAAAAGCTACAAGGAACCACTGACAGTTTAAGAGGTCAAGTAACAAGATTGAATTTCCAATTTAGGTATAATCACTCTGACAGCAATATTAAGAATGTGTGGGCAACAGGTGCACCGGTAGGAGGATGCCCAGTTAAGGGGATTAATTGTGGTTCATCCTGGATATGGGGAAGGCCTAATACTAAGACAGTAGCAGTGGGGTAAATAAACAGGGACTGATTTACTAGCTATTAAGAATGTGTGGCTTTTTAATACCTTATAATGATTAAGAATACATACATATATTTATAACTGAATCAATATGCTGTACACCAGAAACTAACACAACATTGTAAATCAACTATACTTCAATAAAAAAGACAAGAAAGAATGTATGGCTGTCTTGGGCCCATAAACTCCTCTTGTCCTGCCCCTGACCCTACCCAGCTGTACTGCATGATAAATCACTTCTAACTCGTCAAGGGCTTTGTAGTTAACAGATACTGTTTAATAATCATTAGGACCTGGTGGACTCTCTGCTTTCTTAGTCCCCAAGTAATGCTGAAGACCTTCACTGACATATTCCCAGTGCCCAGGAGACTAGTTACCCATCCACAAATCTTGACTTAGGAATGCACTTCCTGCTCCCAAACACCACTCCCATACCCTAGGTTAACTATAAAATTATTCCAATAGCCCCTCAGCCGTGTGGAGTGCGGCTGTGAAGGTTTCTGGATCATTGTCCTCCCCATCACATCCTGTAAGTTACTGTATTATAAACTGATCCATTGATGATGTGGAGCTTCCTGCCTCATTTTCTCAGTCTCAAGATAACTTCTCAGTTTGATGGGCACTTTTCCTCACCCCTGTCCTCCACCAAAGAGGCAGCAACGTCAAGTCTTAGTGACTGGGGTGTATGTGTGTAGGGGGAGGGATCGAGTTATGAAGGAGGAGTTTCACGCAACTTACCTTGGTGCTAGGATTAAGTTACGGAAAAGCCCTTAGAATAATGGGATGGGAGGGGAGATAACTCCTAGGGAAGCTCCTCTGCACCCCCAGCCCATCCTCCTGGTAAGTAGCCCTGGAATAGCTAGGTAAATTTGAAAATGTCCTCCACAGATGGGTAGCTAGGGACCCTCCCTCAACCTGGATTTCATTCTCCTAAGGATTTCCTGAGAACCTAATAAAAAGAGGCCTCTTTTTGGCCTAGCCGGTGAGAAGTACCTGACAGAAATCTGAAGAGAGGTCTCCAAGTGGGGAAGGAGGCACGCGGCAGATAACCACTAACACCATAGGATACTAATTACTGATGTCGAGGGATGGGGTATTGACTTAAAAACAAAACAAAACAAAAACTGCGTTGAGCAGAATTTTAAAGTAAAGTAGAGCGGGTGGAGAACGAGCTGTTCAGTAAATTGATTCTTTCCTTTGCGAGGCTGGAAAATTCCTCTTAAAATATGGCCAGGCCGACCTGGGCACAGATTTGGAGGACAGGAGACTGGTGGCCGGGCTTACAGAGGGAAACCCAGAGGGGCGGGCGACCACGTCAACGCCTTCTCCCATCCAGCACTCCAGCAGCAGCGACAGACGCACGAAGAGCTGGAAGCCGGGGGTCTTCCTCGCCTTTCCTGACGGAGGACAGGGGCGCGGTTCCAGCCCCTGCGCATGCGCAGAGCCAGACGGCGCGCCTGGGAGGGCCCCGGGAAGTTCCACGACTACCTCCTCAGACCCCACCCCTTCCTCAGAATCAAGGGGGAGGAGCGTCGCGCGCGCTCGCGTCGGTGCGCGCTCTGAAGCCCCGCCCCCAACTCCTGCCTCTGGCTCTCTTCCATTGCTTCGCCCCACCCTACATACCTCTGCCCCGGACCCATTTCGGAGGCGCGGCCGACGCGCCGTGCAGTCTGGGCCACGAGTACGAGCGCGTGCGTACGACAGCGCGCGCCCGCCCAGTCGAGAGGACGCCCCGCCTTCCTGCCCCGCCTCCGCCGGCCTCCCCTCCTCCGGCTACCTCCCGGTGCTGAGAATCCCGGCACCCGCGCCCGCTCTGTAGCCATGGAGGTCCCCGGTAGCCTGTGCAAGAAAGTCAAGCTGAGCAATAACGCGCAGAACTGGGTGAGTCGGAGCAGAGGTGCGGAGGAGGCTCTGGGAGGCTTCGGCTGCGGCTCGTTTCAGAGCCGCTGCCTCCTTCCCGCCTCCTCCGCATCCTCCCTGGAGAGCCGGGGGTGGTACCCGAGTCCGGGCGCCTTCCAGCTGGGGCGGTGGGTGGTGCCTCACGGAGTGGCCTGGCGGGGGCGGGGGTCTCGGGCTGGGTGCGGTCCGATCCACGGTCTGTGGGAAGAACGCCGCCTTCTCCAGCTCCTCGCCTGGATGAGACCTCGGGGAGGATCTTTCGGGAGTGAGCTGGCAGCTGCTGAAACCTGCACCGCCGAGGGGGAGCTGCCAGCATCCCCTGGAGTGGCCTGAAGATCTGCAGAGGAGGCAGAGACAGGCACCTTTGGTGCGTAACTGGCTTTTCTTGGCTCTGCCAGTGCTGTTAGCCCAGGTTTGGGTCCATCCCCATGCCTTTTCATTTCTGAGTTTCAGCATGAAGGGAGAGTACCCAACAATGTGGCCATTCATGAGTTGAGACTGCCCTGAACTGAGGTTCTTTGTGACTCGGTGTTAAATTGGAATATCTAACAATAACATGGAGACTGAAGTGTGGGAAAACTAATGTTTTATAACGTTTAGCAAGGACTGCCAGTTGGCTTTGATGGTTAAGTGTTGTGTCCTCAGAAGGTTGCTTCCTTCCTTAATTATTCTTTGGTAAGAAACAGCCTTAAGGTAAGATTTTGTAAGTTCAGAGAGGGGCGGAGTGGAGGAGGTGTTGTTCAGCTTTGGAGTCCAGAAGGCAGTGGTTTTACATTTGAATGGAAAATTTTATTTCACAGTACAAGATCATGAGGTTTAAATGTAGACTTGCAAATCATCAGTCCCCTTGGTGAGTCAAAGAAAAATAAAGAAGTCATTACAGGCAAATGTTCATTTCAAGTCATTAATTTACCGTATTTGTTGTTACCAAGGATTCTCACCCGTTCCTTTCTCCTCTTAGTTATTTACTCTTCCTTAGATGATAAGAGAGAGGAGATAAAAGTTGAATTAGTACATTGGAAAGAGCACTGGACTACTGGCCTGATCTCTGGTTCCAGTTTTGCCAATTAGTAGCTGTGTGATCTTGAGGAAAAACAGTCTACTTCTTTAGACCTCAGTTGACTGAAAGGTATAATAGTGTGTACTTCACTGGATTGTTTTGAAGGGTAAGGAAGATAATGAACTGGAAAGTTCAATGACACCTCTGCCAGGGAACTACTGATACTGTTCCTGTTACCTTGAGGTATTTCCTGGTTAGAGAAATAAGGTTGGCTAAATTAGAGTACTTACAGATCATTTCAGCTACACTGTCTGTAACTCATTTGCCAAATAAGTGCATGTTCTTTGTAGGGGCATGTGCTACTCATGGAGAATATGAGAAATGAGGGGCTCAGTGCTTGCCTTCCAGTTGCTCATGGCCTGGTTGGGGTTGTAATGGGCATTTGCTAGGTGATGAATATATCATTACAGACCCCAGTGAGTTGTGTACAACATTTGTTTTATCACAGTTTAGAGGAGAGATTAATTTAGCCTGTATGTTTTGGGGAGGGTTTTAGGACGAAAAATGTGCTCAGATTTCTGAGGCAGAGGGGAGCTGTATGAATAAGGCCTAGGAATAAAAATAAAATAAAAATAAAAATAAAAATAAAAAATAATAATAATAATTTACTCCAGGAGTAATGAGAAGATCTATTTAACCACTCTAGGGAAGTTTTTGTTGGTTGGAGATAAGATTGAATAAACAGGATGGGGCTAGGTTATGCAGTTGTTAATGTTTGGCTGCTGAGTTGAGACTTTATATACTCTGGGAGATTTTTTTTTAGGTTAAAAAATGGGGTTTTTTTTGCATTCTTTAGTCAATTTCTGGTGTACAGCATAATGTTTCAGTCATAAATATACATACAGAACAGATAGAGTTATAGAGAGGTTTAAATGTATTAATAGATTTGACGCTTGCTTGATACATGAGTTTTTCTTGTTGTTACTGTTATTAATTCATCTAGTGTGAGGGTGTGAAGTATGGGGTTAAGATGATGCTGGAAACAGTGTAATAGATGCATTACAAGCATTCAAGGAAAAGTAAGAAGGACCTGACTTGAGTTAGGGGATGAAAGAGGGAGATGTGTTAATAATGATCCTGAGGTTTTAATACTGGGAAATGAGGAGAAAGGTTGTGAAATGCAGGGGAAATTGGGAAGTAGGTTGAGGGCTGGAGTAGGGGTGATAATAGTTAAACCCCGAAGGAGAGTTTACTGTGTGCTAGGTACTATTTGAAATGTTTTCCCTAAATTAACTTACTAATTTCTGTTACATTTTTGAGGTGGGTATCAGAGAGACAATGGTTTCAAGTGAGGACTCTGGAACTGACTGCCTCTACTGGAACGTGGGCTCCACTATTTACTAACCATGTAACCTTTGGCTAGTCACTTAAATTCTCTGTGCCTTGGTTTACTCATCTATAAAATGGGAGTGATATCCTCACAGAGATATTGTAATGATTAAAGGAGTTAATATATGAAAAATACTTAGAACTATGTCTGGCCTATAGTATGTGTTGTGTCTGTGTTAGCTCTTATTAAGTATTGTGTGTCAGATCTTACAGTTATCCTCTTTATTATAAATAGTAGCACCATTTTATAGATGTAGAAACTGAGGCACAGAGATGTCACAGAGCCTGTAGGTAGTGGATCCAGTTTTAAGCATGCTGCATGTGAGGGATGGCTTTAGTAGAGATAGTCTGTAGAGCAAGACTATCTAATAGAAATATAATGTGAGCCACATAATGTAATTTAAATTTTTCTAGAGGTCACATTAAAAAAAGTAAAAAGAAACAGATTGAAATGAATTTAAATAATTTATTTAACCCAGTATATTGAAAGTACTGTCATCTCAATATAAAAAAGAGTTCAGTACTATCATAATATAAAATTGTTAAGATTTTACCTAAGTGTATATTTTACACTTAGCACACATCTCAATTCAGACTCACCAAATTTTAAAAATTCAGTGGGAACATGTGGACAGCACAGCTATAGGGACTGAGTTAGGTTAAAGTTGGAAATAAAGATTTGATGGTTAAATTTCAGTTAGAGATTATAAAGAGAGAAAAATGAGAGACCAAGTACTAAGCAGACTTAGACCAAGTACTAAGTTATGTCTCCTGTTAAGGAGCAGATCAAAGAAGTGGCTTCATGGGAGATACAGACAGGGAGATAGGAAAAGGTAGTGGCATAGCGCTGGGGAACGCTGTTCATTTCCGCAGTAGGGTGTCTCCATATATCTACAAGAATAGTAAGGAAAATCAAGAATGAACATCGCCCTTTAGCCTCCTCTTATCTCAGTCTGACAAAGCATCGGATGTAATGAACGTCATTCTCCATCTGACTGAACCTTTCTCCAGGGGTCCAGTTTCCGTCTGCCTTGGGAGTGTGTTAATTGGACTCAGGGGAATGTGGGGCGCTCAGTTCAGACCCAGGTGTCACTCATCCATTTAATAGAATCATGTTGGGCCGAATCCCTGGCTTGGACCCACTTTACAGTGGAGTTGATCCTGCTGAAATCTAGCATGCTATTCAGAGGCGCAGACAGTCTCACTCTGGTTGGCCATTCCATTCCCCTCTCTCCTCCACTCCCCACATTTTCATAGCTCCGTATCTCCAGACCCAACTTTCTTTCCAGACCTTACATGCTCAGGGTGTTACACAAGCCTTTCCTTCTGCCTAGGATGCCTGTTCTGACTTGCGGAGATCTTCAGAGTCTCGGGCCCCTTTACCATAGCAGTGTGGCCCTCCTGCATCCACATGCTCACACGTGGGCTGAATTGTTTGTGCACCTCCATGTTATGTTGCGCTCTGCTGTTATATGTTGTGGAATCATATTTTATTATAGATGTTTTGTCTCTGCCCTGAGCGTCTCCTAATATAACAGGATGGGGATAGAGGGCAGGGTGCAGAGTAAGCTTCGGTACTTCTGATATTAAAAGCCCTAAATAATTTACTATTAGCACAGCTTAAGAAGGAGAATAAGCTCCATATGTGGTAGGATTGAAATTACAGTTTTATCACTTCCTGTGTGACCTTAGTCATGTTACCTAACTCCTCTGTGCCTCAGTGTCTTCAGATGCAATAATGTGGGTAATAAAACATACCTTGTAGTGAAGATAATAGTGCATACCTCATAGGGTTCTAGTGAGGTTTAAGTAAGTTAATATATTTAAAGCACTATAGTGCGGCACATGAGTACTCTAAAGTGTTCTCATTTACTAATTCATCAAATACTTAACACCAACTTTGTACCTTTGTTTCAGGTGCTGGGGATGCAGTGGTAAAAGGACAGAAAAGGGTCCTGTGCTCATGGATGTTACATTCTACCTGGGAGAGCGTTAATTAAAAAGCAAATAAATGAATGAGATAATTTCCCATTTGTCAGTTCTACCTTTTCCGAACAGTTTGTCCCTCATACCATTTGACCCCTTTCATAGAAGGCCAGCAGCGCATGGTGGATTTTGGGGAAGCCTGAGGTGGTACAAAAGTGAAACAAGCAGGCAGAAATGGAACACATGGTGTATGAAAAGCTGTATTTTCATTCATTCAGGGCATTGACCTGCCTGTGGGCAGGGGCAGGGGTTGAGTTTCTTACCTTAGAAGCTAGGGAGGTGCTGCTGGAAAAATTGCCCAAAGGAGAGGGAAAGCTGGAATTCTACCAAGAATGTACTCTTTAACATTGACAATGATAACGAGAAGGATGACAGCAGCGTCTAGATCTGCAGTGTCCAATGTGGATGTCCCTAGCCACCTGTGGTAACTTAAAGTTAGCTTAGTAAGATGAAAAATTCTGTTCCTTTGTTGCACTGGCCACGTTTCAAGTGTTACATGGCCACTGTATTGGACAGTGCAATATAGAACATTTTCATCATCTCAGAAAG